AATTAATCAGTACACATTGTGCCTCTTTTGGGATTTCTTGCAATTGTGCAGATTCATTAATTTATACTTTTTGAGTACTGTCATATCTATTTTGAACACATATTTTTGCCATATTCGTTTTTGAATTTCTTTTAATTTATATTATTCATTATTATTTCAATTGCACATACTATGGACACAGTGGGTGATTCAATGTATGTGCATAATATAGAATGATTAAACAAAGATGGTTAGCATTTTCATCTTACATTTTTAAGAATATTTAATTAGTATATAACTGTGTGTTTATTCTCAAATGTTTCAAGAAGATTATTTCTCTATTTGTTTTAGAAAGCATATCATTTCATAAATCATCTATATATCTTAGCTGGAATATGAATTTAAATAATTTAGCTGTTTCCTCTTGGTGTACTGTTAAGAAAGGTAGCATTTCTCCTTATGGAAAATAAGAATATAAAACAAAAAATCGATTTTTTTTTTCTAGTTTTTGTTTAATTTCACTAAGTAAGCTATTGTACTTAGTATAAATGGGATTTATTATTATTTGTGAGTTGGAGCATATGATTTTCTTCTTCTCTTATCCCATTTGGCTCTCCAGTGGACATGGTGTGCCTGTTAACAACATACTGTGTAACTTCTAGTACTTCATCTTTCTAAATTTACACACACCAAATCCAGGTCCTGCATTCTGCTCCTTGGGCCTCCTTGTGTTTCTCTTATCTGAGAAACACACTCTCAGGCAGGGCAGTACTTTACTGTATGTGGCCATGAGCACGTGTGTGCATTTCCTTCTCCTTCTGTTTGGGTAATTCCTAGGCAGCATGGGGTGAGTGCCCCTTGCTGGGGAGCACATGGAGGTGGGATCAGCAGAATCCAGAATGCGGGCTACTCCACAGCACAAACAAGTTGCTCCCTTCATAAGCAAATGCCATTTAAAAAAGTATATAGGATAATGCAGATCAAAGCCGACTTTTCAAATTCTATAGTGGGCTTCTTTCATATTCCAGTTGTTAAATACAATGTTTATGACAATCAAAATGGTACCAGAGGTGATGTTGTATCATTGTGAGAGTTGTTTTAGATTTGCTGATGGCACAGTAACTGTGCATATGTCCCCTGTTGTCAGCTACTTGCACTAGTGGGAGTGGCTGTGAGTTCCATGAAAACACACCACATGGGATTGTGTGGATGTCTGTAACACATTGTACTTGTTTGCTTCACACAAAGTGGTTAGATCCTGAGACTCCCTCTCCTGGGATATCAGGCTGGCGAGGCAATTAGAGGTGTTCCACAGTTGTCTCCGTTCATGCACACAGCATTCCCTGGGGTAAAATTCCCACTTGAGATCATTCAAGATGATGCAGTCATCAAGGGAGAACAAAATGCTCATGTACACACCCTTGGATGGCTTTATTTGGCTCCACATGTTTGTTCCTGGAGTCAGTGGGGACAGCTGCACAAGGAAGACACTCCATGCTCAGAGGCCATCTCTTCACTTGGACACCCACTCCTTCCCAGGCCAGCTGGAAGGTCATATTCAGTTCATTTCCTAGTCGTTTTGAATCAACCACTCACCAGCAGAAAAGTGAGTACCTATAAAATGGACCTTTCTAAGTGAGCAATGTGAAACTCATCACTGTGCAATAGCTCGGTGCTTAGGATCTTCTGTTTGTAAAATCTCACAATGAGGATGGTTGTGTTTCATCGAGAAAACATCTTCCTAATTGACTTCATCTGTAAGGGCTACAAAAATTATTTAAATTGCATTAACACAGTGTCAAATTGTTGAGTAATCACATGTGCATTCCTCTATTTACACACCTGGGGAAAACAACCAATCTTAGGTGTCTTCCATTAACACACTTACATTTTGCTTAATTGTTTTCTTTCTATGTCCTATTTTTATTTATATATTTTTTGGGGGTACTAGGGATTGAACTCAGGGACACTTGACCACTGAGCCATATTCCCAGCCCTATTTTATATTTCATTAAAAGAAAGGCTCTCACTGAGTTCTTATCACCTCACTTTTGCTAAGGCTGGCTTTGAACTTGTGATCCTCCTGCCTCAGCCTCTCAAGATGCTGGGATTACAAGCATGTGCCATCATGTCCAGCCTGTCCCATACTTTTTTAAATTAAATCTTTTGAAATTCTTCCTTTGATTTTACTGGGTCTCTATGATACTTTCCTACATGCTCACCTATACCCATAATTCATCATTCATCATACAAGTTAAGTTATGTGGCTCAGGTATTATTCAGATCAATTAATATATCTTCAAGCTTTCTCATTATCATAAGGAATTTTCTCATACCATGTGAGCAGGCAACTTAAAGATCATTTCCTTTTAAGGTAATAAAGATTAATTTGCTAACTGAAAAAAATTCTATATGAATTTTGAAATTAAATCAGGCACTTTTGTAAACAGAAAGGGGAAGAAAGCAGAGAGTGAAAGAGGAGGGCAGACATGAGAGTGAAATTGAAGAAGAAATAAATAAACGAGTTCCAAGAATTGGTCCAAACAATAGGAAAGGGCGATGACGGTGGATACAAAGAGCATCTTGTCTGTTGGAACTTTGTCCCAGCTACTGCCCTCAAAACTTCATGTGTAAATTTCTTTTTCTTTCCAGCTAGAGATAATAATCTCATATTGTTGCTAAGTGCAGTTCTAGAACACAAATTCACTGCAAACCAGAGGCCACAACTGACAGTGCGATCCCAGGTGTGAGTCGCGTTCAGCAGAAAACCCAGCTTTGTAATGACCATATGTGTTGTATGGCCTGCCCCTCAGTGACCATGCAGACATCCCTGGACAGTGCAGAGCGGAGATTTCCTCAGAGTCCCCATGAGGCACAGAGAGGACAGTGGTGGTGGTGGGAAATCTAAAATAAGGGACAGCGGCACATGGCTCTGATAATTAATCACAACAGAAGAACAGACTTGGATCTCAGGAAAAAAGAAAAGTGTTATGAAGATAATTCAATAACATCAATCCAACTATTATTTAACAATTTAAGAGTGTATATATTTTCTAACATACTTTATGTGTGGAAAATTTTGAGCTACATTAAAAACAATCTCAATTTTTTGATGGTTAAAACTGAGACTTAGATTGTATTAAATATTTCATTCCAAGACATACAACTAGTCATATAGACATATAAATAGTCATTCCAAGATATATAACTAGCAGAAAAAACTTACAAGTAAAGCTGACTCAAGTTCTGTACTTGACCAAAGTACAATTTAAAATGTATTTAATCCTGTCTGATCTGTATGAGTGAATAGAATGTAAAGGTTCTCTGTTTAGTGAGCATATGCTGTTGTAGAAAGCAGAACTCTAAAAACACATGTGGCATGCATCAGAATGTGAAGTATAATAATGCAGCAAAACTCAGGAAGAGCTTGATAGTGACTGCAACCTCATCAGCAGTCAGGCAGCGGTGGGCAGGTGGGGGATGAGGTTGCCTTCAGCTGGGAGGATTCAGAGGCCTCTGGGTGCAATGAGAGACAAGGACAGCCCATGGGCAGATGGGAAGATGTCTGAGAAGTACACTTATGCCAAGAGTCAGGCATATATCCTATGCAGGAGGCTCCTGACTGGTACTTGCTTCACATTAACACTTTTCTTTTTAATCTGATTAATTGGAAACTGTAATCTCCACTAAGAAAAAAGCATTTGGATGGATGGCAACAGAACATCCCAGCATTTTATTAATGTCCAGATATTTGGCTGTTTTTCTTACCATTTGTAAATCCTGATGCCATTCTTTTTTATTTTCCTGCTTTATGTATATGAGCCCTATCATTAAAATAAGTACCCATTGATTGCCCTACTGTTGAAGGGTGTGTCTGTTCTGATCATCTGCTGTTCATTAAATATTTTAAAACAAATGCACTTGGGTTATGGAACCCACTGGTAAAATTCTTCATGAGAATATATTCGCCACTTAGTCCTCACTAGTATTTCCCACACTTCCCACGATATAAACAACAAGAAGATAAGTTTATGAAATTTAGATGCACAGATTATTGGAAGACAGATTTATTACTTCACAAAGTAATGTAAACGGTATCCAATGGTATTTAAAGGTGGACTGACCTAATGAAAACTTCACCAGTTTGATAAAGCCTTTTGGTTTACTGTAAAGAGAAGGTCTGATTTATCTGCAAGGGAAGGATGCAGGCCCCTCTTGAAGGGGTGTGCTCCCAAGGCTGAGGAGCTTGGACTTCTGCAGTGAGCAGTTCTGCCAGTCCGAGCACAGCCTTCCCTTTGAGGCAGAAGTGCACATTGCTATGTGAGACCACAGCAGACAGGTGTCCAAGGTGAACACACATATGGAGACAGCCCTGTCTTCAACACCAAGAGCAAACACCTGTCAAAACATTCTCCATGTCCTTCTTTGTTCTTAAAGGTGGGTGAACAGTCCCTCAGGTGAGTGAGACTGTGTAAATGCTGTACATTACCAGCAGTGAGGAAAATGTCTGCAAAACAATCAGTCTAGGAGCATTAGAATGCTCCATGAACCAACAGGGAATCCACCTGTACTCAGGTCTACAGTGCTGTCTTCATGCCCAGAACACTTACAGAACTTTGCTTCCTTCCAGACAACACAGTCATGATGCAAAGGGGATCCTGCAGTGGGGGAGCTCAGGGAGTCAATAGGAGCAGCTCTGACTCATTGGCCAGTCTGCACCCAAGGTGCGGGTGAGACACAGACAGACTCCCCCCATTCAGCTACCCTGGACGAGAAGCCCTTGCTCAAAATACAGAAAAGATAGAAAAATCAACTGAAGCCTTCACCTGATAGAGCATTTAGTAAACTAGACAAATACAATTGGATGAACCTACACCTGCAGGAGTCACCATTTTTTCTGAAACTGTCACATATAATATGAATAATGTTTTGATGGGCCAATTTCCAAATAGTTCAACTTTACCATAAAATAGGGTTTATACTTAGGTGCATTTTCTATGACCTTGGTGGAGCTTCCAAGCATGACAAGTTTGGAGAACCACACTGTGGCCGAGTTTCTTCTTCTGGGACTGCTGCAGCACACACCAGCTCACTTCTGTGTCTTCGTGCTCATCTCCATGATGTTCTTCGTCACGCTGATGGGAAACAGCCTCCTGATCCTGCTGATTCTGGTGGACCCCCTTCTGCACACTCCTATGTACTTTTTCCTGTGGCAGCTCTCTCTCATTGACATCCTGTTCACAATTGCCATTGTCCCCAAGATGATGTCTGACTTCCTTCTGCACAAGACTGCCATCTCTGTGTCTGGCTGTGGGACACAAATCTTCCTGGGATTGGCCTTGGGCGGAACTGAGTGCATCCTTTTGGGACTCATGTCCTATGACCGATATGTGGCCATCTGTAAGCCTCTCCACTACTTGCTGCACATGAACTGGCCCCTCTGCAGGCAGATGGCACTGAGCTCATGGGTGAGTGGTGCTTTCAATGCCTTGGTACACACTGTCTACACCATGAACTTCCCTTTCTGTGGACCCAGAGAAATCCATCATTTTTACTGTGAACTCCCTGGTGTCCTGAAGCTCTCTTGTGAGGACACCTTGGCATATGAGACGGGGGTGTTGATCAGTACCACTATTCTGCTTCTCATTCCATTCTCCGTCATCCTTGCCTCCTACATATTCATCCTGGTCACCATCATCCACATGGCTTCTGCTGAGGGGAGGAAGAAAGCTTTCTCCACCTGCTCCTCTCACTTGGTGGTGGTCAGCCTATACTATGGAGCCATCATTTTCATGTACATGAGGCCAATCTCTTCCCATACTCCAGGCCAAGATAAAGTTGTGTCTGTTTTCTACACCATTGTGACACCAATGCTGAACCCCTTGATCTATAGTCTTCGAAATAAGGATGTGGTGGGAGCCCTGAGAAAAACCCTATGGAAGTGTTCAGCATGTGGGAAAACGTGACTATGAGGACGGGGCTTCATGAGTATTGACCAAACGTGAGCACTGACCAAACGTTAGACTGCCTCCAGTAGAGATGCTCAGAGTCAGGGCTGCAGGTGAGGGGCCACTGAATATTCTGAAGTGTCAGGTGTGGCAGCAAAGGGATGCTGGGCTTCTCTGCAGGAACCCCTCTACAGCTTGGCCAGTGTGATGAGGGTGGCACTACCCAGCCATCATGAAGACAGGGAGGCTCTGGTTCCAACCATGTTGTCACAGAGAAGCATGTGACTGCATTAGCAGAACTGTGATTACAGCTTATGAAAAGTCACCCTCTGTAAGGTACTGGGATAGAAGACCTGCAATTTACAGGTCTCATTAGTAAGTCAACTTCAAAATGAAAATTTTATTTTAATTGAATGCATATAAGTGTCATATACAGTCCTTTGAAAACAAGTGAGTTGCTAGATGGCCATGTGTGCGTGTTTGACATAAAGATTCCTTTGTTCATTAAACATACCCGTCTCCAATTCTAGGGAGAACTTTTGTAATCACAGATTGTGTGGGGAGTGGTTTATGTTAACCTTGAAATTCTTACCTGAAGAGTGAGGAATAAGGCACAGCCCTGCCCTCAATGCTTGCCACATTCAGGAGTCAGATGGTTGGTGGGTGATAGATTTAAATCCGTATAATGCTTTTGGAAGTATGGCCATTTTGACAATATTAATTCTGCCTATCTAGGAGCATGGGAGATCTTTCCATCTTCTTAAGTTTTCTTCAATTTCTTTCTTTAGTGTTCTGAAGTTTTCATTGTAGAGATATTTCACCTCTTTTGTTAGATTGATTCCCAGGTATTTTCATATTTTTTTAGTCTATTTTGAATGGAGTAGTTTTCCTAATTTCTCTTTCAGTGGATTCTTTGCTAATGTATAAGAAGGCATTTGATTTATGGGTGTTGATTTTATATGGTGTTAGTTTGCTGAATTCATTTATTAGTTCTAGAAGTTTTCTGGTGGAATTTTTTTGATCTTCTAGATATAGAATCATGTCATCAGCAAAGAGTGACAGTTTGAGTGCTTCTTTACCTGTTTGTATTCTTTTAATTTCTTTCTTCTCTCTAATTACTCTAGCTAGAGTTTCAAGGATGAAGCTGAATAGAAGTGGTGAAAGAGGACATCCTTTCCTTTTTCCAATTTTTAGCAGGAATGCTTTCAATTTTCCTCCATTTAGAATGATGCTGGCCTTGAGTTTAGTATATATAGCCTTATGTTGACATATGTTCCTACTATCCCTAGTTTTTCTAGTGTTTTGAACATTAAAGTGTGCTGTATTTTATCAAATGCTTATTTGTATAGATTGAGATGATCATGTGATTCTGGTTTTTAAGGCTGCTAATATGATGTATTACGTATATTAATTTCTGTATGTTAACTAACCTTGCAGCTCTGGGATGAATCCAACTTGATGGTGATACACTGTTTTTTAAATATATTTTTGTATGTGATTTGCCAGAATTTTATTGAGCATTTCTACATCTATGTTCATCATGGATATTGGTCTGAAGTTTTCTTTCCTTGGTGTATTTTTTACTGTTTTTTGTATCAGGGTGATATTAGCGTCATAGAATAAATTTGGAAGGGTTCCCTCCTTGTCAATTTTTAGGAGTATTGATGTTAATTCTTCTTTGAAAGTCTTGTAGAACTTGGCTGAGAATTCATCTGATCCTGGGCTTTTCTTAGTTGATAGGATTTTGATAGCATTTTCTATTTCATTACTTGAAATTGATGTATTTAAATTATATGACCTGCTCATTTAGAGTGTTTAGGTCATATTTCTCTAGAAATTTGTTGATGTCTTCTATTTTATTAGAGTATAAATTTGCAAAATAGTTTCTAATTATCTTCTTCATTTCAGACATGTCCATTGTGATATTTCCTTCTTCATCTTGTATTTCAGTAATTTGAGTTTTCTCTTTTTTTTCTTTTTGTTAGAATGGCCATAGTTTTATCTATTTTAATAATTTTTTTCAAAAAACCAACATTTTGTTTTGTAATTTTTTTCAATTGTTTCTTTTGTTGAGATTTCAGCTCCGATTTTAATTGTTTCCTGTCTTCTATTGCTTTTGGTTGATTTGTTCCTCTGTTTTTAGGGCTTTGAGATGTAGTGTTAGGTCATTCGTTTGTTAACTTTTTTATTCTTTTGGACAATAAACTCAATGCAATGAACTTTCCTCTTAGTACTGCCTTCATAGTGTCCCAGAGATTTTGATATGTTGTATCAGTGTTCTCATTTAACTCTAAGATTTTTAAAATTTCAGCCTTGATTTCTTCTACTACCCATTCATCATTCAATTGTGTATTATTTAGTATCCATTGGTGACAGTAGCTTCTATTTTAAATTTTATCATTAATATCTGTTTTCATTCCATTGTGGTCTGATAGAATTCTTTTTTGTATTTGCTAATAGTTTCATTGTGGCATAAGATATAATCTATTTTAGAGAAGGAGTCATGTGCTGCTGAGAAGAAACTGTATTTGTTTGTAGATGTATGAAATAATCTATATGTGTCTATTAAGTCTAATTCTTGATTGCATTATTTAGTTTTATAGTTTCCCTATTTAGTTTTTGTTGGAAAAATCTGTCTAGTAGTGAAAGAGGTGTGTTAAAATCACCCAGTATTGTACTGTAGTCCATTTGACTCTTGAAATTGAGAAGGGTTTGTTTGATGTTAATAGATGTTAATTGTTTGGCTCATAAGTGTAAGTGTTATATCTTGCTGATATACACTTCCCTTAAGAAGTATAAAATATCCTTCTTTGTCTCTTCTGAATAACTTTGGTTTGAACTCTTCTTTATCTGAAACAAAAATGGAAACCCCTGCTTGTTTCAGCAATCCATTTGAGTGATAAGTTTTTCCCCAACCTTTCACTTTCAGACTGTGGATGTCTTTGCCTATGAGACAGCATATTGTTGGATCTTGCTTTTTAATACAATCTTCCAGTCTCCGTCTTAGGATTGATGAGTTTATGCAGTTAATATTCAAGGTTATTATTGAGATATGGTTTGTATTCCCTGTCATCTTGATTTATTTCTGGTTTTTGATTTGTCCTAGTTTCTCCTTTGGTTGAATGTCCCTTTAGTGCAGACCCTCCCTTTGCTGGTTTTCACTTTTTTTTTTTTTCACTTTATCCTCATAGAATATTTTGTTGAGAATGCTCTGTAGTGTAGACTTTTTTTTTTTTTAATATTTATTTATTTATTTTTTAGTTTTTGGCAGACACAACATATTTATTTGTATGTGGTGCTGAGGATCGAACCCGGGCCGCACACATGCCAGGCGAGCGCACTACCGCTTGAGACACATCCCCAGCCCCAAGTAGTGTAGACTTTATAGTTGTGCATTCTTTTAATTTTTGTTTATTGTGGAATGATTTAATTTTATTTTCAAATCTGTATCTTAATTTTGCTGGATATAAAATTCTTAGTTGGCATCTATTTTTCTTTCAGTGATTGAAATATATTATTTAGGACTTCCTAGTTTTGAGGGTCTGGGCTGAGAAATCAGTTGAGATCCAAATTGATTTTTCCATATATGTAATTTAATTTTTTTCTCACAGCCTTTGAGATTTTATCTTTATTCTCTGTGTTAGTCATTCTCATTAAAATGTGTCTTGGTGTGGGTCTGCTGTTATGAGAGAGAGAGAGAGGTTTTCTGGCACCGGTGAGGCCCTGGGTTTTAACCTCACCATGGAAACAAAAAACAATAACAACAAAAATTACTTGGGGAGACAGAGGCAGGAGGAGCCCAATGTTCAGTTCAGCATCTGCAAACTGTGAAACCCTAGCTCAAAAAACAAAAAAATAAAAACAAATGTCATGGATTCAGCTCAAAGTTTGAGCCCCACTGGGATTATTCCACAGCACCTCAATGAAAAACATTTCTCTATACACATATAGTATCAGCTGCTGCAACTTCAAGCAACTTAGCAAATTATGCTTGTTAGGTGCAGGGCAGGCTGAACTAACTAAGTTGTCTGCAGGGCAGCCTGAACAAACATTAGCTGCAGGATAGCCCACACACTCAAATCCCCCTCTGTCTGGTCCTTTATCACCTGTTTGCGTCATGTCTGAACACTCAACCCCATTCAAGGCTGAGCCCTCGACCCCCACCCATCTGGTGCAACCAAAACCCACATCTGACCCCTGCCCCATCTGCCTGAAGGCAGAAGATGACACCCTTAGCAACCACTGTATGATCCAATCACTGTACGCCAACAAGGCAGCTTGCAGACCCAGAGACCCCATTAGATTTTGGCTATAAAAACTCCCTCCTGCTGGGCCCCCCTCTCTTACTCTCTCTCACTTTCACTCTCTCTCACTCTCCCTCTCACCCTCTCTCTTGCTTTCGCTCTCCTCCTCCCTCTCTCCTCTGTCTCTCTGCTCTCCATGTCTTTCTTTTCTCTTTCCCCACTCTTTCTTTCTCTCTCTCTCTTTTCTCCTCTTTTGCACTGCTGCAATAAAGATCTCTTGGTCGCTGTGAGTGTTGTGGTCACTTTCCTTTCAATGCTGCCCAGCACAGTGGCGCATCCCTGCAATCCCAGTGGTATGGGAGGCTGAGGCAGGAGAATTGTGATTCAAAGCCAGCCTCAGCAACTTAGCAAGGCCCTAAGCAAATGAGCAAGACTCTGTCTCAAAATAAAATATAAATAAATAAATGAATAAAATAAAAAGAGCTGGAATTTTTGGCTCAACAATTTTGCCTTAGTTGTGTCAGGTGTAGGGCAGGCTGGAACTTGGTGAAGATGGTGACCTCTGAGAGAGAGAGCATGAAGTGCAGGATAACCTGGACACTCAAACCTCCATCTGTTTGTTCTTTATTGCTTATTTGTCTCAAGTCCAAATGCTCAAACTCTGCACTCAAGGCTGAACACTTCACCCCCCCTGCTCAAGGCTGAACACTCAACACCACCTCTCCCCCCCGCCCCCCCCCAAGGCTGAACACTGAACCCCCCTTATGCCAACAA